ATATGGGTAGGAAAGAAGCAGGTTTGATGAAGCAAGAATTAAAGCAACAACGCAAGACTCCACGTTCCCTAAATAACTGCAAGCAATTAAAGGAGATCATCTTACAGAACATAATAAAGCAGTGTTCTCAAGAATGCCAGGGCAACAGCATTCTTACAGAGAAAGGCATCAGCCAAAAGAAACAATCCCCGTGTTAGTGCAGATCACCTGGAAGTGAAGGACACTCTTAGCATCACTCAGGTGGGGGGAAGAGATTTTCTTTTCTCAATGCTGAAGTAGTTTATAAGGAAAATAATTTGTACTCCATGCGCTGCTGTGAAATTCACCAAGCTGAGCATTATACTGCTTACTGATCAATCCTCCCGTTCTTTCCAAATGTCCTCTAACACATCTCGCAAACTCAGGAGCAGCAGAACTGATTTCGATTGGAGGAAATGGAAAACGGAGACAATCTGAACAAATAGGGTTCATCAGAAGTGAAAATCACTATTAGTTCAGTAAAGGGGAAAATTACATAAATTACATTTCGAAAATTGACCTACATTCTTTACTAGCTATGAAACTAAGGTATACACCATTGTATAAAAACAATTTCAAGATAGTCTTGGCTTATAATTAAGTATTTCCTAAAAACCCCATTTAGAATCTAGTTTATCTTCACTTTTGCTACTTTATTTGACCTCTGAATTTACAGGTTTAGAAATAATGTCTTTATCTGGACTATGGGCACTACAACTTATTTACAGATAATAGACAATAAATGGCTTTCCCCAAGGCAGCTGCTCCTGGTGGTGGCATATCTCCTGGCAGCCAGAGCAGAGAGAATGGAGAAGAGACTCCGTTCCTTGTTCTCATGCACCTCACCCAGAACCAAGTAGATTCTGGTAATACTGGCTAGTTTTTATTAGCCAAATCTTTGACTGAAGACTCAAGTCTGCAAGTGGTTGCTGGAAGTCTGAAGTCTAGTGTTGGAAGAAAGAATCAAAATATAAACTGAATTTCTACCAAGAAAAACATATCACAAAGAAACAGCCCTGTTGTGCGCACAGTCTTCTATTTTATCTGCATTCTTGCGCCGGCAAGGGTGGCCTTGTAGGAAAACCTCACTTCCAGAACTAACTCAGATCATTCTGGGCAAATGCCGGGAAGATATATAGAGAGAATGCAAGCTAGATGGGAAAACAGGAGCAAAGTAAATTAGGTAGCAGGATGCTACAACCCTTTATAGGGGTTCCAAATAAAAGCATGGCAGAGTTAGAAGCTCTGAACCCATCAGCTAAGTTATTACATACATCCGGCGGCTATCCTATCTCAAGAAAACAAGTTTGTTTTTGAAAAAGTTAAATTCAACAAACCTTGCCTTCGATTAGCGAAAGAGCTAACATTCGTTAAATGGGGGAAATAGGAAATCATTTATTAACTTTTGCTCAGTAGGAAATCGTACTGGCATCCAATAACTGTTCTGAGTGCCCCCACCCAGACTCATTAGTGCTAAAGATTTTAAAGAATAAATTATAAAGAGCAATGCTGCCCCCTAAGTCACTTCAACATCCAGGTTTTGTAAGAGGATGAATTAATCCCTCTTCAAATATCTTCAAACATCTCTCCAATGTTTCTTGGAGGCAGTTAATGTCTTTAATTCACTCAAGCTCAAGAAGCAATGTGTAAGGCTATGGAGTGTGCATATATATAACATGCACATATGTGTGTGAGTCTGTGTATGTTATACAATGGCACATGAAACCCAACACTTTAGAAACAAATAACAAAAGAGATGTAAGAAGACACTTATTCAAGAGACCAAAATATTTCTAGCTTTTTTTTTTTTTTACAATAAAGAATGTGCCATTTAGGTACTAGGTTATCTGTAAGCAGCAAGTACTCCTGTATGCGTGTGCACGCATATGTGCGTGTATGTGTGCTTTAAAATCACAGTAGCAATAGTAGAGTAGAATGTAACCAATCTACCACAAGACAGCACTGTCAGTACTGTGTGCTGGTGTAGCACCTTTCCTGTCTCACACATTTTTGAAGAGAATTCCCACACTGGAAAGGCAGAGTCACTTCCTCCTTGTTCCATACAGGACACTATGGGTCACACGGCCAGAAAGACGGCTGTGTCTCACCTGAGCAGAAATAATTGGAGACATGATTTCAGGGTTTCTGTGCAGGGGGAGGGAACGCAGCAATTAGTGGAGATGCTAGGGGCAAAATGAGTGGGTGCTCTCCTCCCACTGCCAACTCAAAGGCCGGGAGCCAACCTCACTGCCATGCTTGTCCTAATGAAGCGGGGAGGGTGGGCTCTGCAAACCCCCGTGTATATATTTCAAGTTATGCACAGATATGTCCATATTATGAGGTAGGAGAGAGGTCAAGATGATAACTGCGAGGGAAACCACTGGAATTAATTTTACTTAGATCTGAGAAATCCCAAAATTAATTATCTTAGCAAAAGCACTTGTAATAATACAGTAGGGAAGGCAGAGTTTACTGTAATAGAAACATCTTATTCAAGATGGTAAAAACTCACAATCCTCAAAAAGTCTCCAAAAAAAACTTACTGGCCAGGACTAAAACATGTTTTTCAGGAAGGAATAAAACCAGCATTTGTATTTTACTACCCAACTAATGTAATATGCACATGGAAGTGGATATATAAAACAAATTGTAGTGACACGGTCAACCGTTAGTCTCCCGAGACTCCTACAGTAGATACAGGATGCTATCACAAGGAGGCTCTGGATGGAAAATAAAAGCCCTTTGTTTAATTATTAACCCCTCTTTACTGTACAACTCTGTCCAATATGTATTTTTCAAATAGAATATTTATTAAAGCCTTTATTTTATCACCCGTTTTCCACTGTAAGATTACAAAGTATCATTTGACAGGAGAACTCAGGACTTTGCAAATACTTAAATACATACTCGAGCACTGAGCTACACCTCCAGCACTAAACACTACCATTAGTATCATAATTTACAAGTAAGAGAGTCGAGGGTCATGTTAAGTAACACACTATTAAAGGGGAGAGCCATAACTTTTTTTTTTCCTTAGAAGATTCTGTATCACTATGCCTCCAATGACCTCATATGATGTGTAAGGAGCAGAAAGTCTCTAACTATTTTCTAGCAAAACCAAGAATTTTAGTTAGGCACAGTAGTGCAAGTCTATCCAAGCACACCAATGCTCTCAGTGAGGCATGGCCGTGAATGTCTGTAAACGCAGTACACCAAAGACTGGAGTAAGAGGGTCATGAGCAAGCATGCATAAGACACACACACACACACACACACACACACACACACACAATTTCCTCCAGGAAATAAAAAAAGGACGTCTGAAAAGTGTCATGAGCTGAATTGTGCTCCCCCAAAATTCATATACTTGAAGTCACATCTCAGAATGTGGCTATATTTGGATATGTAGCCTTAGAAAGATAGGATTAAGTTGAGAGCCTTGGGGTGGCCCTCAGCAGCAGTCTGACGGGGGCCCTGGTAAGTAGGGGCAGAGCAGGAGCACTAGCAGACACCAAAGGCAAGCACAGAGGCAGAGACCACGCTAGCCAAGCCACCCAAAGACTAAAATGCCCTCAAGATAAAACTAGCTCTGCTAACAACTTGACCTCCGGGATCTACCTTCCAGAGCTACAAGAACATAAACTTCTGTTGTTTAAGACACCCAGTCACCTCAGAATAGTCTGTGTCCAAACTGCCTCCACACACCTCATCATCCAGAAAATTTTGGGGTGGAGGCCCTAGGAAGCCAGTGGAGGAAAAGCGGAAGTCCTTGAGCAGCTCTGCAGTCACCAGCACAGCACCAGCTCCGCTGCCTGCCGCTGGGCTAAGTGTTAAGCATCTTGGCTTTCTTAAGGAAGCCAGGAAGAGTTCTCTCTCTGAAGGACTGGTCACAGGATTATGGTATGTCATCCAAGCACACTCCTTCCAATACTTTTCCTTATGTGACTATCTCTCTCATGGAAGTACGGTTGAGAGGTCCCTTCAACTCCAACACACAAGCCCAAGCAAGCGAGGTACATGATAAATTAAAAGCATTTCAAGACATGGCCTGGTGGTGTTACCTCAGATCTTGCTAGAATAACATGACATTTATAAAAAATACAACCCACTGAATGTTTGGCACTGTTGGGGAATGAAGAGTATGTCCACTTAAGAGCCAATACCCGAGGCTGTCAAAAACTCAAGCCAGGGTTTCTTCTATAAACATTACCTATCTTTTAAAATTACACAGTCTAGGAGGGGGAGAAACGTCTGCTTATTTCCATGTCTCCTTTTGCTTAAACACAATAAACATAAACCACACACAATAATATGTTAAATATGCAGTAAAACCACATTGACGGAACAGCTCTTTGTACCTGGCAAACAATCTCCACTGGAATCTCTGCTTGGGCCACCCTCACTCCGATGACATCTACACACAGTGCAGTCTTTAACACCGTGGGCCTCTTCTAATCCCAGTGCAGACTGAAGGGCTATTTACAGGTTGCTTTTTCAGATACCAGCCACTTGCTCACCCTCCTTAAACCATACAGAATTTAACATCTGGAGGGATAAACTCAGCACACACGACAAGGGCGTGTAGTCACTGAGGAGGAGATCTCAAGCAAGCAAGATCTGCCAGCTTCCCTCTGAGGTCCAGGCCCTGAAAGGCCAACTGTGGTATGTTTGAGTTTCCATCAGGCCTGGTACTTGTTGGCTGCTGCTGTGCTCAGTGTGAACCCCACTGCCCAAGGATTCTATAAACATCTCGCCCTTCTGCCGAGGGCTGCCTGCCTAGTCTTTCTTCCTGGGGAGGAGAATACGCTGTTTGAGAGCTGCAGAATGCACGTTAGCTAACACCTGGAGCACAGCTAACTGCTCTCTTTTCCAGGTCAGTAACTACTCTCTAAAACAAAAACAAAAGCAAAACACTGAGTGTATGTGCACACTCACAGGGACATAACGAGAACAACAGAGAGAGCAGTCTAGATTTTCCTCACCGTGCGCCACCCAGCCATGTTTACACTGATCACACGTCCGCAGGTTAATCTTCCCAGGCTGGAAACACTCACACGTGCAGTTTACCAGTGTGCAGCGGATGGCCTGAAAGGAGAGGAGCAGAGGCATCAGCGTCAGTTGGGAAGCATACGACTTCTCACTGGTTTTGGCAAACAGTACCATCTTTACCATTAAAGGTTTTGTGTTAGTAAAGATCTGAAGACTTTTGAAAATAAAGTTTATATGAAAATATTTTACAACAAAGGGTTGAGAAGGCAAAGCAGTCATGAACACAGTATCTTAAGTCTTTAGATACAAAGATAAAACAAGGTAAATGTGGATAAAGGATCATGTTTTCCAAGGACACTGGATTTTTGACACTAGATCTCCAAAAGAGAAAAACAATTCTGCTGCTGCTGTGTGTTTATTTAACTTAACTACTTCACGATAATGCAAAACAGCACACGTTCAAAAATGTACCAGCCAAATATTGTTCAAGGGAAATATCTGTAAAAGTAAAATATGGCAGACAAACAATAATTATTAGAAAAATCCCCTTTAGTAGCTTTCATTTAAATGCTTATAGCTACTATTTCCCAATCTCTTGTTTTTCCTATGATTTATTAATTCTAGTTTTATCCCTATATTAAAATAAAATCACTATTTTTATTTTAATGATGATAAAAAATAAGTTGAAACTTTATTTTGAGGTCAGACATAAAACAGAAAAAGACTTACATGAAGATTCTACTCTTAGAAAAATACAATTCTGTCCTAGAACACTGACACACACACGAAATGCCTTTAAATTCTGTACAAGCATTTTAAAAATCATCTCACCAGTTCTTATTATAAAGCGAACTCTTAGAAAGCTCCATAAATGGAGTATAACTTTCTATGAGTGAAATCCATGCTCAGAAACTGTGCTAAACCTGCTGACCTGTGCCACGAGACACCAGCTAATAAAACTACCTTGTATATATGACTTCGAGCTGCACGGAAATTCTAGAACCAGAAGGGATTTATCTTGACTACTCACCTACTAACAATCTACTGTGGCTATCTGAGCTGCTGGAAAACATCTCCCTAGAGATTCTGAGAGAATCAAGGGTGGCTGGGATGGGGTGGGGACCCTCAAAGAGGACCCTGAAAGTGTGGATGGGCACATGGCGACTACACTTAAGATACTCAGAAGCTCACCTTCCTAAAAGCATCTGGGTTTTACATAACTACCTCCCTCGTATCAGTCCATCTGCAACACATTGAACTCAGTGGACTTTTTCTCTCGGCCATGCAGGTTTAACGACTTCATGTTTCACTAATGAACGCTCTCTCTGTGGGTACCAACCCCATTTTAGATGCAACAGTCCTCAATCTATGAGCCTTTCAGACTTAATTCTTTCTTTTGTTCAGTACAAAGGTGATACTTGTGGACAATCCATCGGTTACTTTGGAGTTTCTTCTAACCCAGTCAGCAGACTGCACCCTATCTAGGTTATAAAGGTTGGCTGCATGTTTAGTGATTAAAGAGCTAGGTGGGCATGAGGACTCTTCCAAAAGCTCACTTTCCAATTCCTGTACTAACTGATATATCATAACATGTTTATGAACAGCTTACACACATAGCATGCTGACTGACTGATTAAAGAACTCAAGATCTGATTGTGACCAAAAGTTTAACATACAATGTTTCCACTAAATACAAGGTGCTTCTCAATGTATCCAGTTATAGGTTCAGACATGGAGATTATTATATTAACATTAAAAATACTTAAAGTACATTAGTACAAACTTATATAAATATTTTAAAAACATTTGTTTTATAAAATATCAAGGAATAGGCAATAAAAAATGATATTCCAAAGAAATTTTTTAACACTAGAATAACTGATATCAATCCCTTTGAATCATTAATTTGATGTTAATAATTTTGTCAAAATTTTTTGTATTATATCATTTAAAGCAAAAATTCAATTATAGTAATAATCAAGACAAAAACAAGTAAAAGATGTAGGTTAGTTACACACACACACACACACACACCCCTTGGCACTGGCTAATTCATTCATTTATTACTATTGAAATAACATTATCCATCTGGTTCATTTGTGAATGAAATCTTTTCAGATGCTTTCTTTTTCATGAATTCTATATAACCAAACATAAAACACTGGAACACCTCAACCCTTTTATATATAAACACTTAAGCCCTGGAATACTCATTTTTTATTTCTATAAATTCCATAAGGCCTACCTTCTTAAGATTCAGACTTGCATAGACTACAATTCCTGCTTAAGGGAATTACATATACTTAAACAATATGGTCTAAATAAATATTTTGAGTAAGAGACTATCGTGGCTTTCAAAGGAAGTTTTGTTTTAAATAATGTTTTGAAATAGCATAAAACTTTGACATGCTATTTATTCACAACAAAACAGAACCTATGTGACTGTTTGCCAACTTAGGCACACTTACAAAATAGATTGTTGTAAACTATCAACACTGGTTAAGCCTCGGAAGCATCCACGTGTTTCAGGGAGAGAGTCGGAAAGAGCTGCAGTGGGAGAATATATCCCTGTGAGCATCTTCCACTCTTCCGTTAGCTAATGCTGGGGTGCTTCCCAGTCTGCTGCGAACTCTGCACAGGACCTGGACATATTATACTGCTTGAATGACAAGCTCTGAACGCCAGAAAGGAGAAGGCTGCAGGAGCTTCATTGAGACTGGCCCTACCTCTCTCTGCAGGGAGAAGTGTTCAAACTGGCCAATGCAGACCTATCTGCAGGACATAGCATAGAATACCTCCTCAACACCTTGTAACCTGTCTACTCAGCTCTCAAGAAGAAGCTGCAGGAGCTACCATTGTAACTACCTACATTGTAACTCTTTCCCTCAACTTTCAAGAACAATGATAAGAAACATTTTAACGCGCAACGCATTAAAAATACCATGGGTTTCTTGAGAGAGAAATTTCATGTATGCCCAAAACAATGTCTCTACTTCCTCATGCCATAAACATTTGAATTCTGCTATCTGCATTCTGTCCACAGGTTCTTGAAGCTGCACTCTCTGAAGCACAGCTCTGGGTACATTTGGCTCCTCGTTTAGTCTCCCCTTCCTCCTCGACCTTGGTGAAATTTGTAACACTAACTTTCTTCATTCCCGAGCAATGGAAGCTGACTACCCAGCTTTTCTGGCAGCAGCAGCATCTCACCACTGTAAACAAGTACAGTTGTTGCCCATGGTTGGGCTCTACATTCTTAATTTGGCAATCCCACCCTCTCCTAAAACTCTACATATCAGTGCCATGCAAAAATAAAAGACCATTTGGGAACCAGTCATTGTACTAAGTGGCAAGTAATGGATGGCAGTGGCCTAGTGTGCAAGGCATGACAAGTTGTTACTTGCAGGCAGTGGGCTTAAAGGGCAGACCCCAAGAACAAGAGTTCTTAAACAGGGTAGAGAGCTACCATCTATTTCTCTCTATGGCTCCATCTAAATGTGATCACTTCTTACTGTCCGTTACTATTAATAATAGTTAGATTAACTGAATGTTTGCCTTTTTCCAGGCAATGTGCTAGATAATTTACAAAGAAAAGACTATGAGCTTCACATTTTTATTTTTATTTTTTTGGTGGTTTATTTTGTTCTTTTGAGACAGGGTTTCCCTGTGTAACAGCCCTGGACTGGCTTTGTCTACCATGCTGGCCTTGAACTCACAAAAATCCACCTGCCTCTGCATCCCGAGTGGTAGGATTAAAGGCGTGCACCACCGCCGCCTGGCAATCTTTGCACGTTTATCCCTTTTCTTTCACATGTGAGGCCTGAAGTGATAACTAAGTGCCTTGCTGAAGCCACTAAGATGATCTAACATGAGTATGTCTGTGTGGTCTGCACCAATGGCGAGCAAGCACTGAGTGTTGTTCCTGCTCAGAGTCCATCACAGAACAGTTTTGCTGGCGTATGTCTCCCTCCAAAAATCATCTGTCCTTGCCTTTCCTGGCCGTCCACTCTCGTTGTTAATACCTGAATTCCAGTTGTGTTTTCCCAGGACCACTCAAAATGGATCCTAATTAATTTGTTCATTCTTCTTTTCTCCTTATCAAACCAGTCTTCCTTGCACTTGATCATTCTGTATGGAGATTGCTTTACTCATTATTTTTGTTATATATATATACATATGTGTGTGTGTGTGTGTATACACTTATCCTCAACTGAGACTATATAGATATAGATATACACATATGTATTCTGTTTTGAGCCTCTGAAATGATATTAGTGGAGGAACTCCATCAATTACTCTTCAATGTATTCCTCTACCTATAACAGAATAGGGAAAATGTACAGACTCAACAATATGTCAGAAATGGTCGTAGTAATTCACATATACATAGTTCCATCTAGCTGGGATGCTGATGCAAAAGGATTGCTTGAGTTCAGGGGATTAACAATAACCTGGACAATATAAGCAAGACCTATCTTGAAAAAGGCACACCTAAAACCTACAAATAAGCAAAGCTGGTAAACAAAGTCTAACACGGGTTTTAATTTTAAATCAGAATGTATTTTTGAGGTATTCTGGTTATATGCCAAAGACCTATTCCAATCCTGATTAGACTGTCAGAGAAATAGGACTTGGGTTTCATTATACCAGCTCTCTCTAACTCATAAGTATGTATGGACCAAACATTTGGGTTCTTACAAAACGACATTTGTCAGGAAAGCAAACGATTGTTTCTGTTATACTTAATATCACTGACAAAGAACTATATATACACAGGCTAAATCATGAGTTAGTGCTCCTTATGTGGAAATACCCACTCAAGCCATCTGACACAGAATAATAACAGGCAAAATAAGACCATGAGGCAAACACATATATAAAACATACATGTAGGAGCAATCACAATGACAGGGCAGGGGTCCAGAATTAAACTCATTTTAGTTCTGGATTTTAACTGTCCGCCATCCTCCCCACCCACCAGAAAGCAAAACAAATCAAAACAAGAAAACATATCCACAGGGCACTCTCTCTTCGTGTTTGAAGTTCCGCCCAAACTCTCATAGGTAACTAAATATTCTTTTTTTTTTTTTTAATTTTTT